CATAGATTTGCATAAACTGCTAATCAAAGAGTCTATTTATATAATACATATCTATTGATCTATTAAATAGATTTTATTTGATAATGCAATTCATACACTCCCATGAATTCAATAATTGTTTCTAATTATAATATACTTTAAAGCTACTATTAACATAGCAAGCACATTTGACATACTACAGTATTTGTTACATAACAGTAATAATAATTATGATTAAGAAATTAATAATACTAAGGTTAGTTAGACTAAGTATTAGCCAGATAGTAGATTCTTGTAAAATAATTTTAATATAAATATTTATTATGCTTGATACTAAGCAAAACACCAAGTATTGCAAAGTTAACAGTAATTTGAGATAACTTTCATAAAATTATGAACCCTATGATATAAATTATCAAGGATACGTTTGTATTAATTTGTACCGAACTAAAAGGGACAAATGAAAATATTTGAATGTTAATGTTATAATATATATTATAAGATTTATAAATCTGATATAATTTAATCATAATCATGCTAAAGTTGATAAAGATCGTTATTTTCCTTAATATAGAGCTCTATGTTAAGTTTATTTTAAAATTACAAATAGTTTTACCGACAAAATAAATCAATTAATTTGAACATATATGTTTGAATGTGATTGATAATTCATATATGATATAATAGTGGAATAACTGATTAACCCGTGGACTTGAACTTTGTATTAACAATTATATTTACTTTAATAATCAATGATATACAGTATCAATATTTTCAATATCTTATTCATATAATGTTATCAATAAATTGTGGTATAATTTGAAAATATTGTTCATTTCAAAGTTAATTATCAGGCATTTTGTGTCAAGCAAAGTAATGGCAAATATAGAAAAGTTTAGCCAAAAAGTTGTTTTAGTAACAGGTAACTCTTAACTTATTAATAATAATTTTATACTAAATTACGATTACTTTTGTCAAAAAATGTATGTAATATTGTCGCCTACTTTCTAATAACTGTTTGTTATGTATTTGAGGGTCGAGTTCAGGCATCGGTGCGGCCACTGCTGTCCATCTGTCAGGTCTTGGGGCACAAGTAGTGATCACTGGTAGGAGTGCCGACAGATTGCACGCCGTTTCCATTCAATGCCAACAAAACTCCACTCAAGGCTTAAAAGTTAGTATTCAATTCAATACATGTTATGCTGGGTTTAGTGGAAATTTGTAATATTCTGTATTCAACATAGAGTTACATAGAGTTAAACATAGAGTTGTATTAAACATAGAGTTATGATACTGTATATTATATGCTATGATATGATGGCAATCAATAAGTTTTGAGCACAAAACTGAACCCATCCTATAAAAAGACATAAAAATAAAATCGCATTCATAGCACTAATTCATGTTTTCCGGTCTTTATTTAAATTAATATCTCTTTTCCTACAAATAAAAAATGAATCAAATGAACCAATTTATGCGTTCATTTGCTATTCAATTGACTCGTATTTGCATAGCTTTCGCATTCAAATCTTTGTTTTTCAATTGCTTTCAGTCAATGAATAGATTATAAAATAACTTATAATATATGTGCATAAAGTGTGAACAAATTCTGTGTATTTATTATTTGCATTCATAAAATCTATACAAAACTGAACTGTCAGTCATTTGTTTGGAAAATTATATTATATAATGCAATAAAATTTATTTAATACATTATTAAATTTATTACATTTAATGTAATCATTTGACAAAAGCCTCTTCAAGTGATCGCTGATTTGGACGATGAGAATGACTCCAAGCTATTGATCGACACGACTATCAAGAGTTTCGGTCGACTCGATGTACTCGTCAATAATGCCGCAGAATTTAACTGCAATAGTAATATACAAAACCAGGACTCCATACACACCTACGACAAGGTTTACACCAATATTTATCTCATATTTTTATATTCTTTGTCATTTACTGCTTATTTTTATATTTTAAAACTTTTATTATATCAAGAACATTATAATATTAGCAACTAAATTTACAAAATTATCATTTTATGCACGATACTTAAAGCTAAATGTAGAAAATAAAAATTTAATTACAGGTAATGCGGACTAATTTGCGAAACACATTTGTTTTAACACATTATGCAGGTCTGAAAGATTCTTAACTCTACTACTAATACCTTACAATTATTTAAAGGTTTCAAATATTTGTAACATTAGTTCCGCATCTAATTAAGACAAAGGGATCGATTGTTAACATATCGAGTGTTTCAGCCTTCAAACCGGTCTGACTTTAATAGCTTTTTAAAAAAATTTAATTATTATTTCAATTATTGTGTGTTTGTATTGTATTGAACAGTTTGCCAACGCTTTGGCCCACTCTATGGCTAAGAGTGCTATCGATATGTTCACCCGTAGTCTTGCATACGAATTGGGCCCACAAGGGGTCCGAGTCAATAGTATCAAGTTGGTATTTATGTCTATTATACCTAATACAGAATAATTTGTATGCAATTTGTACTAAGAGCTTAATTGTTTGCACGGGTAGTCCGGCTCAGATGAAAACACCTGTTTATGAGAACTTCGGAATGAGTAAAGAAGAGGTGGAGAAGATGTGGTCAGAAGTGAGTAAACAGTATCCGTTGCGAAGACCCGGAGAGCCCGAAGATGTGGCCAAAGCGGTGGCATATCTGGCATCGGATGACTCCTCCTTTGCTACGGGAGTGTCACTCAAACTGGACGGGGGTTTCATGGATTCGCTTCAATTCATTTTCAGCTAATTTTATACAAAATTCAATTATTTCTAAAATAGAATTTTGTAATCAAATTGAATTTTTTCACAAATTATTTTTAATAATAACAATAATCATATAGAATTTAAAATTGATTTTCTTATTGGAATTTCCCAAACATAAGTGTTTTTCAAATGAGACATCGATTGAGTGCACTTAAAATCTCATGAATTTTATGTTTTAATTTCAAATTTAAATTAAAGAGTTTTTATTGAATTGATTAGTACACCGGTGGGGGCAGTCATATAAATTTTTTTTATGTGATTTTAAATATATTTAATATGTAGTTTAGAGATATATGAACTAAACTTACTATATTTCCCATACCTATACAGTCATTTAAATAAAATATCAATATTTCTATAAATCTTAACGTAGTTGTCAGCACTTCTTATCTAAAACTACGACCAAATCTTTTAAAAATAGATGCGAGGGTTTGTCGCATACAGTCTGTCATACTGTGTGTGTAGTGCACTGTAGTGGACAGACTACCAGACATCTCTTCATCAACAAATATACCAAATAAACTAAACATTTACTAAATATTAACAATGCGTTCAAAATGTATAAGTGAATAGATATAAATCATAATTGTATGTGTGTGAGTGAGTGAACGAGTGAGTGAGTGAGTGAGTGAGTGAGTGAGAGAGAGAGAGAGAGAGTCATTCAGTATTGGGAATAACTTATTACTAAAAGTGGTTATTTCATATTTAAAGTTGATTCCCAGAATTTAAGTCAATTTTTAACAAATTTGAATAAATTTTACATTTATTAAACAATTTCAATATTTGTAATAAATTTTAAAAAGGGGCTTTAACTGAATTAAGTTTTTAAATTTTTTTTTAATCGAAATGCCATTGAATTGGTTACTATTAAATTCAAATATATTTGTATTATATGTTATGATTGCTGAACATTTCATTTGTTAATTATCTTCAGGAGTCGAGTCCTTAACATAAATTATATTAAATTAGAGGAAAACTTGTGAATAAATGTGCTCACAATTAGATGTTATTTTTAAAGCATTCGTTTAAAATATCATTTGTCAAAGAATTTTCTCATAATTTTAATATTTTCTCTATAATAACACTAATTAGTGACAAATACAATAAAAACCTAAGTTTTGAAAATTTTCTTTTCAAAGCACCTAAACTTAACATCAAAAGAAATCATCAGTTGTACGAGTATTCATATGTAGTATTCAATGCAATTATGTATTGCTAACAAAATATTTTTCATTCAATTAATTCAATGAAAAGACTCTCTCTCTCTCTCTCTCTCTCTCTCCTCATTATTTCTTTGTATTAAACATAAAACTTTTAAAAGTTTGTGCAAAAGTCAAACAAAACGTTATAAGCACAAAACAGCAATTTCACAGTTTAGTCTCTGTCTCACTGTTGCTTCACTTTTAAGTCATTCAATTTCGTTAAAGCTAATAATTTTGGGACAACTGCCCAATGGTTTAGACTTGAGTTCTGACTTTCTAGACGTCAAATATAATTATATGCTTTAAGTCTGAAGTTCTTAAAGGAAAATATTTGAAACTATACTTAACTGTAGCCATAAATTAATTATTGTTATTATTGTTCAAATAATTCTTTCAAATTATACCCGAATCTATGAATTTCTTTATGGGATACGAGTAAAAATATAAATTGAAAATTTAAAAACTTTGACAAAAAATAATTTGTTTACCACAATATTCGCTCACTTTTTACACAAAAATAATTGCATAGTCTTTGACTTATCACAAAAGCCCTTTTCTTGACTAATTTTCTTATCGATACATAAACTATTAAACACATTAAATTAAGTATTAGTTCTCATATTTCAAAATATTCTAATGCTTTACAACTGCTATATATTATATAGTATTACAACAATTGAAATATATATTTATTTATAAGCTATTTGCATTCTTGTTACATAAGGCATAAACACTTAAATATACATAAGTTATATTCGAGGTTGTTATTAAAAATCGATGAATTTACAAACATAATACATAATTTGTAAAATATCCAGAAACTAATGCTGTGTAGTTAAACTTTAACCTCAAAGAATATTACTATTATTTAAGTTAATACCGTAAAGTATTTTTTCTATAGCAATATGGTAATGTAATTATTTTTATAAGACAAGAGAAATTTGATAATCAACTTTATAATTAAACAATAAAATTAAATACATTCTTAAAATAGAAATACAAGTTTTTATCAAATAAAATCTGGTAAACATTAGTTTTATATAAATGATGGGTATTTTATAGTCATTGAGTGTTAAAGATTGCATTAACTTATGTTTGGTTCAAGTTGAAGATTTGCAAAAAAGACTATTTAATGTGGAAATGATGTCTAAACAGGTAGTTTGACTTCACTTTGATTACATTTGTTGCACCAAATTCTATTAAGAATATCTATTATATAATTATATGACTTAATATCCATTATAAACAAAATGAGACAATGATTTCCTGTAAATAGTTGTGTAGTTTCTTATGGGAATCAGAATTGGAAAAAATGATCTTATTTTGGATCAATAATAGACAACAAATTTCTCACATTAATACAAAAAACAGTCACAAAAACTCATTCCTTCAATATTTGCAAAGATCCGATAGAGAGACAGAGAGAGAGAGAGAGAGAGAGAGAGCGAGTCTGTTGGATATACCTATGTGCAGGTATATTGTATGTATAGGTATAGGTAATGGTGCCGTCAATTACGAGATCATATAATCATAATATGTGTTTAAATGATGTCACAGACAATTGGTTGCAATAGGAATGGGAAATACAGTGCAACTGCGGCACCGCTTATGAGACTTTAGATGCTGTAGTAATGCATGACTGAATCGATTACATAATAGTCATATGGACTGAGTTTGTCTTGTTTTTGTCGCTCTAATCCCAATCCCACGCCGACACGAATTTTTGTAGTATTTCCCACCGACTGGCCATTCAATCGCATTATTTTCATAGCAATTAGGGATCACTCAATATATTCGCCAAAATAATAACTACTTTTTATGTTTGTGCACTCAAATTGCTTTTATAAACATTTGGGACCAGAGTTTGCGATTGACTTTCATTTGCTGCCAGACTATTACCAAAACAGAAATACGTTCATAACCTATACTGAGCCTAATACAAGCTTGATACTATATTGAGCCATAAAATACAATCTTTTGATTTAATTGCTACTAATTTATGAAATGACTTCAAACTAATTGTTTATATTTAATGAAAATTCAAATGTCTTTTAAATGTAGAGCAATAAAACTGTTGTCCCATCATATTAATTGTGGTCTCACTTTATATAATCAGTGAAAATAAATGCTTTTCCACATTACAAACAATTAAATTAATCTTTTTTTTACTCAATGGTAATTGAGAATTATGTGTGTATTAAAGGAAATAATTTTATTTTATAATCAACTTAATTTGAGTCATAAAATTTTAAATAATTCAATTAGCAATTCATGAAATAATTTGCATTAATTAAAAAATAACAAAAACAAATTAAGATTTTTGCGGTTCATTTGCACTCTCATTACATTTCCCAATGTCTTTGTTTTGCATTAAAAACAAAAATAGGCTAAATGTTAAGCTAATAAAGTGTTAAGTAGCTAATTATTATTATTAATTATCAATATGAATATTCAATTTATTAAAACAGTTTAAAAGATCATTAAATGATAAAATCAAGTGAAATGAAACGTGTTTATTGAAAGTATATTATTATTAATTTTTCATTTAACTATATGTTCAGCAAAATTAATATAAAATTTATTAAATGGTATCCTTTATAGACCTGACAAACAAATCGCATGTAATTTGAAAAATAATTATCGAAATAATTTACAATTTATTGCTATTATATATAAAATGATACAAAGAATTACATTCAAAACAAACGATTTATTTGAAGAAAATGTGCCGAAAATGAAACTCAATATAAATGATTGCTTTCTTTTACAATACAATTGCCAACAGAACCGTAAAAATGAAGTCAATCCAGCCATGAATGCATTGAATCCATTGAATCCATTGCTTCTATGCCTCCACTTCTTGTCATGTCTTCAGCGCACACTTTATGTCAATCCATTGAAATACAAACGATGGCATCAAATGCCAAGTTTGTCTTTATATTGAGAATGAATATTATGTTTAATTTGCATTCAAGTGATCCTATATATTGTATACTAGAATATGCACTGCATTGACATCATAACTAAATCCCCTTTTCTCTCCTTTTCTGATCATTCATACTGTAGTAAAAAGACAATTATAGTTGTGTGCGATTGCTTTTTTCTTATCCCTGTCCTCTTTTCCTCCCCTAAACCGGAATCGGAGGAGAGAGAGAGAGAGAAAGAGAGAGAGAGAGAGAGAATATTTGGCTGCAATTGATGCAAATGTATAGCATTTGTGGTGCGACGATGTGTTCCCATCTATTTTGTCATTAATTGCACACATATTCAGCTTCAGGACTAGTCGTCTCCGCAAACAAAACAAAAAATTACTTTTCATATTCTTTAAAGAAAATTATCAAAAAATGAAAATACGTTTACGTTTAATAGGTTTCGCTTTTGAAAAATAGAGAACTTTTTTCGGAGAAATAGTATTAGTTTTCATCACGCGATCCAAAGTGGATCCGAAGCCAATCCAAATGCAATGTAATCTCTGGAGGCATTAATTATGATTATATTATTATATTTGACTATTTCTCTGACAAACACTTTCTGAACGCATATCAATACGTATTGAGGATTTGTTGCGAGAAAAACAGTAATAATAATAGTAATGAATATTTTGTGCGATAATATCTAGAGATCTAAAGAAACATAACATTTAGTTTTAATACAATCTTTATGTGTTTGTGTAGTGTTTGGGACTTCGGGTCTGAAGCAAAAATGTTGAGTAAGAGATGGAGAGGCAATCATAAGAGGGCTGTTGGTGTATGTGAGCAGTCATTTGTGAAATTAGTAATTTCTTTTCGTTTCGTTTTTTCTTGAAAAAAATTTTGTGTAAAGAATTGGACTCCAAATGAGAGACAATGAAAAGCAATGAATTGAATGGCACTGAAATGGTAG